GGAATTCCATCTTCCAGATGTCAGCTGGCTTTCTGGAGACTACAAATCACAGTTACGTTTGAAGCACAATGGCCAAGAACTTGCATGTTACATTGTCGAATGCAGCCTCACATGACCACCAATTCAGACTGGTCACCAAAGCCATCTTCAAGTCACATAGATAAAGCCTGTGCTAATATCAGCTGTTTAAATAATTAGTATATGATAAAACATTAGGAATATTTAATTTTGATAATATTTGACAAATTGTCACCTTTCATATGGGGAATTTTATTTCAGTAATTCCTTCTTTTTTTTCTTTTCAGGACCAATTCTATCTTTGGAATCAAGAATTTTTGATACTTATTCCAAAAAAAACTCAGAAAACTGCATGACCCGAATTTTTGATACTTATTCCAAAAAAAAACTCAGAAAACTGCATGACCTAAACAGAACATAAATTAATTTTATTTGAAGAAACCTAACAAAATACACAGTACAGCTAATTACCACTTACAATAATGATCAATTAAAGCAAGTACTTCCTCTTTCTCTTATGACAGTGGATCATTTGTTGTCACATCAAAACCAGTTCTCCAATTAAAGTAGATGTATAAAATATAATTTCTGTAATTTTACAAACAACCAATTTTACTTATAATTTACTGTTTGTTATTAAAAAATCCTGCGGCTAAAACACAGAAGCTTATAAGAATCCAAGTATACAAGCTCAGGTAGCCTTCATAAACCTGTGTGTGTATAAAGCCTAATTAAGTTGATATATCCTTGTAAATTGTTCTTTGTCTACACATAACAATATACTTCATAAATAAAAATTACACGAAAATATTTAGATGAAACTATCACATAACCTCCTAGGCTGTTCAAATTCAGATTTTTAAGTTCACTTACCTACACACTGGGTTGCATGTACCATAATAAATTCAACATGCACCCTCACACAAGCATACAAATATCAGTTAAAATTTAATAAAAACCTAATGAAGGTAGTCAGGTACATTCATAAAAAATGCTGGATGAATGCCATGGAATGATTGCATTAATACAATCAGCTGTTACCAACCTTCCCCTTAATAATAAAACAATAGTTTCTTATCATCAAGTTTGTGGGGTTTTGTATGTCACAACAGGACAACATTCATCCTTAGGTAAAATATGTGAAAACTTCATACTGACATGTAATAAATTATGTTTTGTGAAGAATTACTTCATAACAAAGACACAACTGCATAAAAAAGCAATTACATCTGTGTCTAAACTCACCTGTGTAGAAATGACATACAAGTTAGGTTATGTATGGTTCATTCAGGCATGTAAAATCTAGTACAACAAAGAAGGCCATCTTCTGGGTTGTAGTGCTGTATAGCCTGGTCCTTGCTGCCAACACCATCAAGGCGATCTGATAATGATAGTAGACCACGAAGACAGCCATCTTTGGACTCAAATCCCACTCAGCAAATCGAAATAATTTTTTGTATATTAGAGTTATGCCATTCTGCAGTAGAAAGGCACTTCACTCATGTCATTACTAACTCAATGAATAACTATATATTTTGCATGTGATTACGCAAATTTCATTCCAATTTCACATTACGTTTCCTGAATGTGTGCGAAGATGTACAGTGAGACTCCAACTCTGAGAGAATGCTTTCCCACATAATACACAAGTGTGAGGTTTTTCTCC